AAAAAAAAAAACGAGCACAGACAGACAAAATCGCCAAACTAAAAAGAACACATACAGATAAACAGTGCTGGGTGAGGGAAACAAAGATATTTACCTGCAGGATATGGTGCTGGAATAGTTTGAAGAGATGATGTTGTTATTGCATTGGCATTGGGCCCACCAAACTGCACTATTTGATGTCCAGGTATTGCAATTCCTAGCAATGAAGGATACATGTTTGTGCCGATTGTTCCAAACACGTTATACATCTGAAGGAATTGTTGACCTCCATATGGGTTGTAAACACCCTGCATTAGACGACAATAACAACAATAAAGTGTTAAAATGAGTTGAAAAAAAAATGGAATGGAGAACATTCTGAAGCAAGTTTAGTAGTAATAGTTGACCTGTGGATAAGCATAATCTTGACTGTAAGCAGTATGCCTGCTTCTGCAAGAGACAAAAAGGGGGGAAAGAGAGAGAAAAAGATCGGTCAATTGAGTGGACATAAATAACTTGGAGATAATGTTAATTAATTAATTCACTCAAATAATAACCAACATCACAACATTAAGAGTCTTATTACGAATAGTACATTCAATTTATCGCGTTTTTGCAGTTGGTTCAAGGAATACAGGAAAGAAATGAAGGATTTCACCGGTGCTTGGTAGATTATTATCTTTCAGAAAGCAAATACAGTACCCAAAATATAATCCCTTCTAACAATGGACATTAAATTACTTCATTCACTATCATCACCTCATGTATCACATTCCCAAAGGCTTATAACCACAAGATTTGTTAGTTGTTCTTCAGCAATGAAACTACCATGACCATTGTAGAGAAAACTAGTTTCAGACTATTTGTAAGTATAGCATTTCCGACTCTCAATCACATTCTAGTTCCACGTGAAAATGAAGTACTCAACCATTGACTTTAAATCTACAATAATACGACGAAGAAACCTAGACGACCTTAACATAAGTTGCAGATAAGCTTAATGCTAATTGATAATCCGTGTGAAAGACCCAAATCAATAGTTTTCTCAAGATATATGAGCAACAACAACCTCACTACAAAGACACAAGAATGAGAAAACATGATATATCTCAGCAAGTAATGATGCGATTGCCTAAGAAGACCAGGAGCATGGATGTCAATGCATTAAATCAGTTTAATAATCACCAAAAACTTATCAACTCATACAAGTAACAAATAATAAAACCAAAAAAAAAAAAAAAAAAAAAAAAAAAAAAAAAAAAAAAAAAACAAAAAAACCTCAAGATATTATATCATTGAATGTCACTCACCCATAAGGAGAATACATCAGGCCTTGTTGAAATCCATATGCAACTGGTTGCTGGAAGCCATAACTTCCAGGATAAGCACCCCTAGCTGCCGGTACGCCTCCAAGGTAAGGTGTCGGAGATCTAAGGCGCCCTGCAAGCAATAAACATAGGCAAGTACACATTATATTATCAGTTGACATAAAAACTAGAAACTCAACTCACATGCTGATGGCCTTCAATGCATCGAGCTAGAATATTATTTATGAGGACTTCTACACATATGGGTCAAATGCTAGAAACTTGACTATAAAACAATGGTGTTTAAAAATATGCAGAAGGCAAAACTATTAAAGCTGTACACAAATGTTGACGAATAGGCATTCCGTTCAACAACAGACGCTAGATAGAGATTTCACAAACGAGGCCATAAACCACCAACTCTATGTTTTCTTTCCTGGAATACACTTCAGAAAGTTTATAAGCCCAATTGGAAGCATAAGCATAAATGTTCAACTGCAGGATCTTGTCCTGAGTAACATACCATTAATAGGAATAAATATTATTCCTGAACTACTCGATATCCAAAGGATAACAGGAAAAAAGAAATCCAATTATGCTATACAACATTCCAGAGGAAACTAAGTCGGAACGGGTAACAAGAACACAATGAGGAAAAAGAAAGTAAAGCAGAACGTCCTAATCATCCAGAATATTTGAGATGCAAATGGAAAGGAAAAGAAAATATGGAAAGTCATAATCATCTAGAATGTTTGAGATACAAATGGAGTATATTACCAAAAGGAATCGCTGGACGAGGTCTCCCAAGTGATGCCAAATTACAATTTGCACGCCTCCCATCAATAATGGGAGTCGGATCTGTGCACGCTCTTCGGGCTGATTTAGGGTCCCGAAAAGTGACCTACAAACCCTCCATACAAACACCATTTAAGTACCCAAGTCATTAAACTGTCCACATTACATTACCTCAATCACAATAATTCAACCAAAATTCTATCTAATAACTCCAGAATATATCAACACTTCTAAATCTCTCATGCTATAAATCAGAGTGTACAGTCACCATCAACACTTTTAAACACCAGAAAGAAATAATGCATAGTCAACAGAAACAAAATAAAGATTAAAATTCTCAGTCAAGATAACAAGAACTCACAAACCCATATCCTTTGGATCGACCCGTATTTTTATCAGCGATGACCACAGCCTCAAGTATCTCCCCAAATTGCTCAAAATAGCGTCTCATGGTCTCACTCTGAGTCTCCCAAGCCAACCCTCCAACAAAAATTTTAGTGAAAGTAGTGTCCCCAAATTGAGGATTCAAGAAATAAAATCCGCCTGTACCCGAGCTTTGACCCGGCACAGGATACTGCTGCTGTTGCAGCTGGTAAGCCATAATCTCTAACTTCAACTAATTTACATACAATAAAGTTCCCTTTTTTTTCTTTCTTTTTGTTTTCTGTGAGCTGCTTCTAACAGAACAGACTGGAGAAAAAAACACGGAATGAAATTAGATAACTATGTATTAAAAAAAAAAAAACACATCTTTAATAAGTTAACAACGAAATGGGAAGAGGCCAATCAAGTGGTGCTAAAAGTCGATTCAATGCGCAGAAAGCGCCATTTTAGCAGGAGAATCTTTGAAGAACCCTAACTACAGCTGATAGCGACTGGAAAAAAGCCACAACAATATCGACTCAACAATAAAAATTCAACTGACCCACACTGCACACAGAGATCAAGAGAACACAAACAACAGAACCATACCAAAACCAACCAAGAAAAATATGGAGAAGAAGAAGAAGAAACCCTAATTTTGAGGCAAATGGTAGTGGGTCAACACAGAAGAGCAAAAAGGGTATGTGGGGTTTCGATCAGCTGTACAACAGGAGGAGAGGAAGAGCGCGTGTGGTCGACTATGATGGGAGATAATGGGGTAAACCCAAAAAAAAAAAAAAAGCGAAAGAAAAAAAAAAAAGGTGAAACCCAACACGGTTTTGTTTTTTTCAAAACGCTGTTATTCCCCTTCAAAACTCCATTGATTACAGAGATACGAAATGAAAAAAAAAGGGTAAATATAAAATAAAATATAGAGCTTCTGACAAAAAGGGTTAATAATTACAGGAGACAAGAGTTTACGGAATAGTAAAAGCGAGGGTTTTGGGTTTGAAATTTTGGTGCGGTCGAGGGTGGTGATGATGGAGGGAGATGATCTTGAACAGGGTTATCATAATTTTTTTCACCTTTTTCGTTCTTTTTTTTTTCTGAATCAACTGATGGAAAGAGAAGATACAGAATAAAACGGGAATTATTAGAATACGGGAAGAAAGAGGAGATTGTGTAACTGCGTGTGTTAAAAAAGGGAAAAGGAAATGAAGGAGAAAAATGGTAGAATATGAACAAGGTGGAAATTGGTCCGCATGACCCATTAGAGAGAGGAAATTGTTTAAATGACCCTTGACTAAATTTGTACAATAAAACTTAACAAGTTATCATATTAAATAGGAAATTACTAATATGTCCTTAACAAAAAAATATACCCCTTGCGGCATAATTTCAAAATTAGTCTTATAATTTGGTCACTTTCCAAAAAGCCACCCCGCCATTGGCCACTTTCAAACTTTGTCCTATAATTTGACATTTTAATCAAATTTGGTCCTTTTTATCCAGAATATGGATTAAAATGAGATTACAAGAGGACCAAAATGTCAAATTATATGACCAAATTTGATTAGAAAATGACCAAATTTGATTAAATGGACAATTTATAGGACCAAGAATGAAAGTGGCCAATGGCGGGGTGATTTTTTGGAAAGTGGCCAAATTATAGGACCAATTTTGAAATTATGCCTACCCCTTGCCTCATCCTTCCTTCCTTCCACGCGAGAATTTCTTTTTCTTCCTTGCCGAGTTTCTTCCTTCCTTCCCGCAAAATCACCGGTCTCTCTTCTTCATTCCGTTCGATTTCGGAACGCGAAAATTCCTGCTCGAAATCACCGGCGCTCTATCTTTTTCCTTCCGCAAGATCACTATGGAACTCTCTCTCGCCAATTTCGTACGGATTCTTTCGTTTTTTGCCAATTTGTTTTTTTTTTTTTAATATTTTCTTTCGTCCTTCTTTTCATTGTGTTATGTGAATAAATTCTCCAAGCATGCTAGATTATTAAGTTGAAGAAGAAAATTGAGTTTATGTGTTATGTGTTAATTGAAGAAGAAGAATGATGTTGAAGAAGAATTGGTTGATATTGTGGTTATTTTGTAATATATTGTGTTTAAAGAGATGAAAGTGGGGTTAATTGTTCAATATGTGTTATGCATGAAAGTGAGGTTAATTGTTGAAATTCTTATAGGATTTAGTTGGTGAATTGGTGCTCTTTATGTGTTTGATGAAATGCTTGTAAGGTGAACTCTATGTGTTTGATGAAATAATTGTAGGGTTGAGTTGATAAAAAATAACGAGCATTCTATGTTTGTAATGTAATATATAACGAATGTACATTCGTTATAGGAATATTGGCCTTAACCTATTGGAAATTTTTTTAGAAATATTGGTCTAAGATAAGAAAAGAAAAGGAATGGGTTTTTGCCTTGACTCTATGTTGTGTTAAGGATTTGTTGTGGCTTTTAAAACCTAGTATCCAAAATGTTCATTTATCTTAAATCGTTTTTGTTTAAAAATATATAAAAAAAAAAAGGTAAAATGGCATGCTTCCTATTGTTTTGTTCGCAATGTATACATGTATGGTGTATCTCTTGAATTGATGTTAGTATTTAAGGATTTAGCATTTTGTCGTAGGTTATTCTTCTAAGTTTCAATTTGTAAGAGAGGTGCATGTTGAGTAGTATTTGACCTTGTTAGAATGAAATATTTTAAGGATGTTACATGTATGAGTTATGATAAGCCAATATTTAGTCAAGCTTCATGCTATAAGGTTGTTAAGTTCAAAGAATAAAAGAAGCTCGATATAGAATGAAGAATCGTTTTATTAGTATCCTTTAGAAATGAGTTTAACTTATAACCTTAACGAGTAAAATATCGTCATATTGTATTATATTGTGAATGTATAGGTGTATTTAATTGACCGAGATGAAAATATAACTATAATGAAGATTCATTTGTTGTGGTGTATGAAATAACGAATGTACATTCTTATGTATTAAATTAAAACCAATAACGAGAGTACTTTACAACAATTGTTATAGTAATTTTGGAAACTACATTATATACCTAATTTAAGCTCCTTGTTTGATCTATTTAAGTTCGGTGTTAGTACTTATTGCTTGTTTGATCTATTATGACTTCTTTTCTGTTTTTAGGAACCAAAAAGGAATATGCATTTGATATACCTTCCAAATGCACTGGAGATTGATCTATCCCAAAGATGCATTTACGTCTACGATAGCGAAACAAGTGTCATGCGGAGGGCAGAACTGGAGAGGCAACTGCAGCCCATTCAAGTTGTGGTACCGATGCTACTGGCGCAGCTGAATGCTAAGTACAATGGTGAAAAGTTTGAGTACAAACGGTTGACATCTCCTAGCCAAAGCAATGGGTGCGTATAATATATATTTTGATCATATTAGGTTTTTAAGTGTATTATGAAACTTGGTAAAGTAATAGAATTTGTACATTTATGTTGCAGGTTTGATTGTAGGATGTTTACTATCAAGTTTATAGAATTTTTGCGTGCTGGGAAGAATGTTGAAGGCGTAGATCAATCTCGGATTAGTGATTGGCGTGTTAAACTAGCTTCTGAAATATTTGGTGTTCATTTTGTTCCATAGTTTGTTTTAAACATTCAATATGTAACGGGTTGTAGGGATCTTTTGGATAATACATTTTTGTATTATTTTTCATGTGTCTTTCAATACAATGATGCGGGTGGTCGAGTTTTGAAGTTGTATTTTTTACGTACTTCTCAATGCAGTGGTTATAATAGTATTTTATCAAAATGGTTAAAAAATATTACTGTAACGAGAAGTTTTAATGTAATAAATAACGAGAAGTATTTTATCAAAACTTGACTGTCTCGGGAGGGACGTCCGTCGCGGCCGCGATGTGGAGGCAAACTTCTCTGTCCGACCAAAACAGGGCCAGTGTCGCGCCCGTGACATAGGTCGCGACCACGACATATATTGTTTTCAATATAACGATTGTAGTACAAAAAAACTAATGTACATTCGTTAGTTTGAAAAAAAAAATTAAAACTTGACATCTCGCGGGAGCGACATTCGTCGCGGCCGCGACGAGGAGGCAAAATTCTCTGTCCAACTGAAATAGTGCCAGTGTCGCGCCAGCGACATATATTATTTTCAATATAACGATTGTACATTAGTTATTTTGTACGAAATAACTAATGTACATTCGTTATTTTGAAAAATAAAATAAAACTTGTTTGTCGCGGGAGCGACGTTCGTCGCGGTAGCGACGTGGAGGCTACATTCTCTGTCCAATTGAAACAGTGCCAGTGTCGCGCCCGTGACACACGTCGCACCAGCGACGACCTGGCAATAGCTCTGTAAGCGTCTGAGTCGCGCACGCGACACGCGTCGCGCCCGCGACGACCTGGCAACAGTTATGATTGTTATTTTCGACCTCGGTCGTGATGGTTATTTTGACCTTGGTCGATTATAAAGAAATCAATCTCGTTATATTACATTTTTTGAAATAACAATACGTGTTTCTTTTCTAAAATGGATATGTAATAAAAAAAGCGCGCTTTGGTCGAAAAACAACTATAACGAATGTTCATTAGTTATATAACTAATGAACATTCGTTATAATTGTTTTTCGTAACAAATGCACCTTAAACGACCGTGCATCCGTCATATAACGCATTATAAAGATGTTAAACTCGTTATGAGTCTCATTTTATTCATTTTTTCATGTAAAATAACGAATTTACAAAGATTCTACATTATATATCCATTTTTCGAAAAGAAAAGAAAAAAACCAGTTGTTATTTAAAAAAAGAGTTTCGTTGTGAGTGTTTTGACGCTCTAACAACTTCAAACTATCGTTCCAATGACAAGTAACATGAATATACATGCGTTATCAAATAATTCGATCGAAAAAACAATAACGAAATCGTATTTTGTTACAGAAAACAACTATAATGATTGTACATTCGTTATAACATTGATAAACTGAATATACAATCGTTATGGTTGTTTTTCGATCAAATACACCTTAATCGAGACCTTAAATCGTCATATAATAGATTATAAGTATATTAAACTCGTTATCGGTCTAATTTTAGTCTTTTTTTCATGTAAAATGGCCTGCCAACAAACAAAGGCGATAGCTCTCCATCCATAATATCAAATAAATCATTTTCGCCGATAGATTATAAATATATTAAACTCGTTATCGGTCTAATTTTAGTCTTTTTTCAT